CCTCCTGATCAATCTGTCTAGCTACCCTACCTATCTCTGTCTCACAAGTGATTGTAAACGCACAATGCCAATAGCCTAGAGAAAATTATAAAGGCTCAATTTTAGCATTTTTATCCCTAATTTGTCCAGTGCTTATCAATTTCTAATGTCCTAACAATGGTTAACCAATTGAGCTGTAGAATCACACACTACTTCCTCTAGTTTCCTCTGGAGGATTTCTGGGAACTGCAGTCCAGGAATAGGAAATTGGAAATATGTTGGGATTGGGATGCTTTCAAAGAAATCCAAGGAGAATAAAGCTTGCAGCTTGGAAGCAGTGCATTTGGATCATCCTCCTCTCCAAAAGGGCCTGGTCTAGGGGATGCTGGGAGCTATAGTCCAAAAGAGAGTGTGGATATGCTATTGTGTGTGTTGTTTGCCAGGGGGAGTCATGCGCTGTAGCATTATTATTTTTTTGCTTTTTAATTCCTTTCCAATGTGTTTTTCAGTGTTTTTATGAGTGATGGTCACTCGTTGGCCTGATAGGTGTCTTGTGTCCAAATTTGGTGTCAATTCACCCAGTGGTTTTTGAATTATGTTAATCCCACAAACTAACATTGCATTTTTATTTATATAGATTTCTGGTCACACAAAAGTAAGCTTTTCCCATTGTAACTGTTTTTCTCATTTTTCACCCATTAAACTACTTGCACACACACTCATTCAGAACAAGAGAAAGAGAGAGAGAAAACAATTTTTGATGCCAGACCTCTCTCTTTAAGCCTTGCCTTATAATTTCTGCATTCTAAAAATATAAAAGGCGCAAGCTGATTTTATTTATCATTGTGAATAAGACCTTATTTTCAGAATGTGTTGTGATTTGGGAAGGGGGGATTAATTGTTAAAAGATTTATAGAATCATAGAGTTGGAAGAGACCTCATGGGCCATCCAGTCCAACCACCTTCCAAGAAGCAAGAAAATCATAGTTAAAGCACCCTCAACAGATGGCCATCTAGCGTCCATTTAAAAGTCTCCAAAGAAGGAGCCTCCACCACATTCCGGGGCAGAGAGTTCCACTGCAGAACAGCTCTCACAGTTAGGAAGTTCTTTCTAATGTTCAGGTGGGATCTGCTTTTCTGTAGTTTGAAGCCATTGTTCCATGTCCTGATGATACAATTCAGTGCCATTTCTGTTTAGCCATAATAATCCAGTGATTAGGTACAGATTGATTGTGTGCTTATGCAAACTATGTTAATGGATTGGATTTCATTATTCGGAAGAGTTGGCCATCCAGTCCACAACTGCTTCACAGTCCAAAGCTTGCAGAATGGTCTTCAAGAGATAATTGCCAATGAATTTAATTAAAATGGCTGCAATTCCAAACAGTAAGTCATTGGTCAGCAGTCCCACAAAAGTGGGTAAACTGCCACATGTTTTCTGTTTATTTATTTTTCAAATGGAAAACCCTCACATTGTGCCAGAGGAAGTTCACAAAAGGTTTAAAGCAAGTTGTTGGATAGTATAAGACCCTCTTTTGAAAGAAGATTTACAGAAGGTCTGTTGAACATAAAAAATTTGCTATATGACACTTTGGGCTGTAGCCTTTGATTTCAATCATTGAGTATTTAAATGTGCTTAAATCCAGGAATTTTGTTAAGTCCTGATGCATGTATATGTGCAGAGTGTTTTCCCTCTCTCATTTAAGTTCTGGTTAAGCCTAACAGGAAACCATATATTCCAATTACATAATTATTGAGCTGAGAGGTGCCTTAGGCTCAGGTATTCCCTTTGCCCTTGCTTTAACAACTTCAAGTAGGAACTGTCCTTTCTTATTTCAAAAAGATCACAGTGTGAGTTTATTTAAAACATTTATGGGTAGGTTCCTAGTGTTTCTGGACTTATTAGTTCCATAAGAAATCATTGAGGCCAGCAGGATATGTTGTGATGGATTTCCTTTCATATATGTGAGTATGGACATTAGAATGACACGTGGCTTATATTTTAACAAATGTTATATGTCCATTCTAAAAGTTTTAACTCCCTATTCAGAACATTTCTAAACCTGATTGTAAATTTGCCCCCACAAGTATAAAGCCACATCTAATCATCACAGGCTTGAGTTTGTTGTAGAAAGGGCATATATTGTGCACCAGCTGCGCCCATATCTTGGGAAGTCTGACTTGGCCACGGTAATCCACATTCTGGTTACATCCTGTATAGACTTCTGCAACACTCTCTACGTGGGGTTGCCTTTGAAGACTGTTCAGAACTTCAAATGGTCCAACGGGCGGTAGCCAGGTTGGTAACAGGAGAGTACACAACTCCTCTGCTGCACCAGCTCCACTAGCTGCCAGTCTGCTACCGAGAACAATTCAAAGTGCTGGCTTTAGCTTATAAAGCCCTAAACTGTTCTGTTCCTGCTTATCTGTCCAAAAGTATCTCTCCTTATAAACCACCCAGGAATTTAAGCTCTTATGGGGAAGCCCTGCTTTCGGTCCCGCCTTCTTCACAGGCTCGGTTGGCGGGGATGAGAGATAGGACCTTCTCAGTGGTGGCCTCTCGACTGTGGAACGCTCTCCCTAGGGACATTAGATCAGCCCCCACCCTCTTAACATTTCATTAAAAAGTCAAAACTTGGCTTTGTGAGCAAGCTTTCTCAAGTGCAGTGTAGCAACTAATTTTGTTTTCTCAACCTCGGAACAGCTGGACAATTTCAATTGGATAATGATTTTGGTAACGAGATGCGAAGGATTGATGTTTTATTGAATTTATGTTATCGAATTTTATGTATGTTATATGCTTTCAACTGTTCGTTATATTATGGTGGCATCAAATTGTGCCATGTTGCAAACCGCCCTGAGTTGCCCTCAGGCTGAGAAGAGGATATAGAAATATAGTAAATAAATAAATAATAAATATATCACTTTCCTCATAACAGCATTGCGAAAACCACATGTTTATATTTGCAAGATGAACAAAAAGAAAGATATATTGCCATTAGGATTATAACTACTCTTCTTTCTTTTCTCTGACAATCATATTACAACCTATGAGACATTATATATCTTCCCTTAATGAAGTGACAAAAATATTTATCTTCAGGACAAATTATAGAGATTAAAAACCAGGCTTGTATTAAAAAGGATTGAGATATATTATATCATAGGCAAAGTAGAGTTTTCCACTGGTGGTCCTAAAGCAGTTGACTATGATACCGAAATGTGCACACATATATCTTGAATTTAAAGATCTTTAAATGGATGATAAATCAGAAAACATGAAGGAATTCAAATGAATAGGTGCTAGTGTTGAAATCTTTACAGCTTAATCAACTGACAACTATGGATGGAAGCATCAGTCTATTTTATGTGATTATTTATGTGTTCATATTTCCCCTTTCCACATTCATCTGCAAAATGTGGGAATATCCATACTGCATAAGTGAAGTGAAGGTGTATTTGAATGTACTTTCTTATAAAATATCCATTTTAAAACATACATTTTCTTAAAAGATGTATATTTAAGCATAGTTTCTCCTAAAGTAAACACTTTATACTTATTTGGTACATTGCATTTGGGAAACTTCAACATTCAAAGGTTAACCATTTTTATAATTGCAAGTTGGTGAGGAAGTGGGAATCTGGGCAGTTGATACAAGAATTAATAGTTTGGATCCTTTCCAAATATCTTCTACTTGAATGGGCAGTACTTTTCATGTCACCTTTCAACATGCAAAAATAGAAATTAGAGATAATAATATAATATTAGAGACAATAATAATAATAATAATAATCTTTATTTATACCCCACCGCAATCTAAATACAATACATCACAGCAAAATGCAGAATGCAAAAACCAAAACTTACAACAGAAAATAGATTACAGTAGCAAAACAAACAATAAAGCAAATTAACACAATATAAAATCGAACAAGATGGGCAGGCCAAATGGATGAGATAAAATGATAAAACCCTGGGTGAGGTAGGAGTAGAAAAAGTGTAAACAAGGGGAGCCCAAGAAGAATAAAAACAGTGGGGTAAGGCTTTCAGTTTAGGGCAGGGGAAAGTGCATCATAGGGGCAACACTATAGACGGGGCAAACAGAAATGGGATAAGTGGTCACTCTCCAAAGGCACAACAGAAGAGCCAGGTTTTCAGGGGTTTTTTTAAAGTCTGCTAAGGAGGGGGTTTGCCTGATCTCACCAGGTAGTGAGTTCAAAAGATGGGGAACATGACAACAACCTGTTTAATCAGTAATGCATTAAACATTTTTAGAAAGTGGCAGAAGATCCGTTATTGAAAGGCATAATTAAGCCAAAACTAACATATTTATACTGCACTTTTTTGTCATGTCAGGAGCAACTTGAGAAACTGCAAGTCGCTTCTGGTGTGAGAGAATTGGCCGTCTGCAAGGACGTTGCCCAGGGGATGCCCAGATGATTTGATGTTTTTATCAATCCTGTGGGAGGTTTCTCTCATGTCCCCGCATGAGGAGCTGGAGTTGATAGAGGGAGCTCATCTGCCTCTCCCCGGATTTGAACCTGCAACCTGTCAGTCTTCAGTCATGCTGGCACAGGGGTTTAACCCACTGCGCCACTGGGGGCTCCTCCTAATTTCTGTGGAACTAATTTCTATGGAACAAACTTAGGCATGTGCTCACCTCTTCCATTAAAATCACTGGAACTCAACATTATGATTTTTCGTTGAATAATTCTGTAGGTCTGTAGGTACAAGGGAAGGTTGACCCACTGGTTTAAGCTATGTGCTCTACAGAACATATTAAATACATTTCTACCATATCATTTGCAATTTTCCACTTGATGCTATTTTTGATGGTCTATTTTACATGATACTGCTAAAAATAACTATCAGGGATTTTTTTATATAGTAGAAGGTTGCATTTATTTTTTACTGTACAGAACAGTACTTATTAAATGAATGAAAAAGATCAAAGTATATTTTTCTTAATCACATGTTTATCTCAGTAACTTTTCTGTTTTGTATCATTATTTTTACTTAGGCCAATGATAGAGACACTGGCAACTACAGCGCTATGCAGTACCGACTCATCGTTCCTCCAATCAAAGATGGCAAAGAAGGCTTTGTCGTTGAACCATATTCAGGACTTATCAAAACTGCAATGCTTTTCAAAAATATGCGACGATCTTATTTCAAGTTTCAGGTCATTGCCACTGACGACTATGGGAATGGACTGAGTAACAAATCAGATGTACTTGTAAGTACAGCAATATGTGTTTTGATGTGTACTTCTATTGCAGGAGAAGTCAGGGTTTTTTTAGAGTACTTTTTCTCTACACACAGTTATTTCTTGAAGTTGCATGTGTTTTGGCCTACTTTAGGTGGATCTTCAGATGCTATCGCTGTAGGCAGTTGACACTAATTAAAGCAAACCCAGATTTCCTAGTTATGTACAGTGACTCATCAGTAGCCTCTGCTGTCTGGTTATGACTGCAAAAATGGGAAGCTTATCAGTCACTAGAAGCTGGTAGATAGGTTGCATACAGAGGCTTCAAAATATATTTATCAGGTGGCAGTGAGCTTGTCCCTTGGCAGACATATACCCTGCATGGTATACCCACCATCACACCAAGTTCCCCTCCCCTACATTTGTTAATTTCTCAGGGCTGAGTTCAGTTTTGAAGATGGTCTCTCCTTCCTTTCTAGCCTTTCTTCCCCTGAAGTTCGGCTGTGTTCCTTCCGCTAGGTTTGAAGGACATTGCAAGTAGTGTCACATCCCTTTTCATCATTCACATTTGAAATCAGCATTGATCATGGGATGCTAATTCATACACAGACATCCCAGGCAACACATAAGTGTCACTGTTTTGCAATATGTTAATTGTGCATTGATTTGGGCAACTTAATGAATGCTTACCTTTGACTGAATCACACCAAATGTATCTGCCTCTACGTCCCACCTCGTAATTTAAGATAATCCAGGGAGGCCCTACTCTCACTCCCGCCAACATCGCAAATTCACCTGGAGGGGAGGAGAAACAGGGCCTTCTTGGCAGTGCTCCCCCCCCCCCCCCCCCCCCCCGCCTGTGGAACGTGCTTCCAAGTGAGATAAGATAGACTACATCCTTCCTGGCTTTCAGGAAGAAATTAAAATCATGGTTTTGGGACCAGGCTTTTGAACAGCAGACTTAATTAGCACTTTAGTTGGAAATTGACTGGAATGGCGTGACAGCTGATGATACTGTTTATTGTTTTAATTAATGCTTTATATATTTTAATGGTTGTTGTATTATTGTAATTGTTTATTTGTAGTGGCATCGAATCGCTGCCAAAATGTAAGCCGTCATGAGTCCCCGCTCGGGGGTAGAGAAGAGACGGGGTAGAAATACCGGAAATAGATAAATAAATAAATTATCCCTTATTCCTAATAAGGGATAATAATAAGCAGCTTTACTTTACTTACTTCGGCGATCCCCCGTTGGATGAGTAAGATGGTTTTCCATGATGGGTTTCCTTGTGAATTCGTAGGTGGCTGTGGAGCCCTATTCTTGACCCGCATCTTCTCCCACAATGAAGGCATTGGTTTCCAGGTGGAAGGCAGTCCCGGTCGGGGTTGGCTTGACGCGCCTTCCTCCTGGCACGTTTCTCTCTTTCACCCTCCACTCATGCCTCCTTGAATTCTGCAGCACTGCTAGTCACAGCTGACCTCCAGCTGGAGCGCTCAAGGGCCAGGGCTTACCAGTTCTCAGTGTCTATGTCAGAGATTTTAAGGTTGGCTTTGAGGTCATCTTTAAATCTCTTTTCCTGTCCACCGTTCAGTTTTCCATTCTTAAGTTCAGAGTAGAACAACTGCTTTGGGAGACGGTGGTCAGGCATCAGGACAACGTGGCCAGCCCAGCGGAGTTGATGGCAGAGGACCATCGCTTCAATGCTGGTGGTCTTTGCTTCTTCCAGCACGCTGACGTGGATAACAGCAAACTATTAGGAAAGTAACAGAGTATATAGCACAAGCATAGTTGGTTTTTCCAGTTTGGTTTTACAGACAGTATTTATGAGCGATATAATAATTTAAGTTGAGAAACATTACTGTCAGATTGTCCTTCCTAATCCTTATCTTGCAGAAACAATGTCTGTTTATTGGAGGAGGGGTATAGATTATGCTACTTTCCTGTGTGTGTGTGTGTGTGTGTGTGTGATCTTTCAGGAAGAAAAAACACAATATGATATATACATTATAATTGACTTCCCAAACCATTTAACAGAAAATTCTGATTTTATCAAGACCATGACAGTTTGGAATCTAAAGTAACTTCTCTTTTACAGCCTGAACAAAGCTCTGAACTGTATTTTCTCACATGAAATGGAGATCATTCTCTCAGTTTTTTTTCTCCACTCAGAAATGTGAATGCCAGCTGGAAAAAGCAATTTTCGGTCTGACAGAGGAAGTCACAAATTTCCTCTTTTTGTTTTCTCATTCCCATGTACATTTCCAAAATCAGTCAAGCTACATTCCTTACCTCACTTTATCTTTGCCAGTTGTGTTATACCATTTTGGAGAAGAAGCAAACACATTTTGATTTCTCCTTCAAGTGAACATACGTATGAACTCTCACTGTTCTTGCTATTAAAGGTTGTCCTTTCTGTCTTGAAAATGTCCTTGAATTTTGCAACGACTACTTCAATCTTAAAAACAAGTCAATGGCTTTGACAATCAGTTTCATGGCCTAAATTGTGTACACATTGACAATTGCTTCCATTAAACTAATATGAGTAATCTTGACAATTAACTTGCAGATAAGTATATTAATTATGAAAATATTACTTTTCTGAACTGAGGTGTGCTCTAGCCAAATTTAAACATTTTAAAGTCTTGTCAATGTAAATATAAGAACACAATAGCAATTATCTGGCTGTGTCTTGCTTGGCAAGTTTCATCATTCTGGCTCCAATAAAGAGCAATTGCATGTGTGGATTAATAACTTCATAAGAGATTTATTTGCTTCTTTTCCTGAGATGAAAATGTACAATTTGGAACATCAACTGCATTTTGCTTATCTGTTTCCAGGTCTCTGTGGTCAATCAATTGGATATGCAAGTCATTGTCTCAAATGTTCCTCCTACAATCGTGGAACAGCACAAGGATGAACTGATAGGGTAATGAGCAATTTTTCACTCTGTAAATATATTTTGTAATGGAAAAATGATAAAATGTTAGAAATTATTTATGACTGAAAGTGTATGTATTGTATACTGGTCTGAAATGTCAATAATAGGAAAAGAAAGGGTAACTAAGAAGCTGGAAGTAGGACAAGAGAGAAACTGACACAGTAAATTTCCACATCATTTTGGGTACATTGGACCAATTCTGAGTTTAGCTTTTCCTTGTCATAGGGTCCGATGGAACGTCTAGTGTGTCAAAAGACTCAACAGTTAGAGCATTATCACATGCGGGTGCATATTGGTAGTAGTTTATCAGCCCATGATCACACTGCTTATCACACATCATTATATATCAGTGGCATTCCAGGGTTCCCCTTGTTATTTGGCTGAATCTTTTAATTCATAGGGGAAACCTATGAATAGGCTCCTAACATTGCATTGTTTCATCTTTGAAACTGATACAATAGGTAACAAGTTGTGCTGCTGATACAATATTGGGTGAATCAATATGGTGGTATGGTGTAACTTTTGTGGGCATAACTTTTCTCTACAACCCAGTTTCTCTACCCCATTTCTCTGTTCCCAAGCTGCAGCCATTCAATTTTCAGAAGGCGGAGAGGATCTATCATTGTGTTGCCATTAGTTGCCCCTTTTGCTTAAAAATTCACCCACAATTTTTAATTTTTTAAAATTTATTTTAATGGTGCAGTTTTGAATATCTTTCCTGGCATGATTCTGATTTTTGTTTGTTTGTGTATAAGTATTCCATTTATGCAAGACACATTGCAAGAATATTTTTGCAAAAGCTACTGCTTTGTGTGCTCAGTTACATTTATGCACACACTAACAGCATTGATTTGACAAAGAGAACTACCTTTTGAATGTGGGTGCACATCTTTAGTTGTACTGTGGTGTACTGAATGCTAATTGACAAACATTGTCACTGATTGTAACCCCCAGACTTCTGTTGTTGTGGACTCAACACCCCAAAAATCAGGTTTGGCAGTGATAACTATTTATTTTTATTTATTTATTTCATGCATTTCTGCCCCACCCTTCTCCCCCCAAAGGGGGGCTCAGGACGGCCTCACACAAGCATCATATGATGCTAACAGCATATAAACAATCAAAAATTACATTTAAAACATTAAAAACACATTATACAATTCATTAAATGATAAATTAAACATGCCAATTAAAACCAAATCCAAATCAGGGTAAATCCAATGTCGCAGATATTCTAAGTTTCTTTCCAATTGCCGCTGTCCACTAATTGAATTACTGGTCCCAAAGCCAAGTCTTCAATTGTCAATAACTACACCATCCCCAACAGGATAAACTAATTTATATAAGGCTGGGATTTGGAATGCATCACAATCCACTGGAGTCAACAATGCATTCATATTTAGTAGGATGGGAAAGTACTGAGAGATGAATGCATGCATGAAAAACTAGAAAAGTGGCACTACTTAAATGTGAATTCGCATGCTAACAAAAATGAAATGGCACATTCTCGCAGTAATGAACCATATCTTGAAATTGTGCAGATTAAAAAATTAAGGGGCATGATCTAGGAAGGGCAAAGCATAGGTAGAGAGGAATAGTCAATGAGGTGGTGTAGAAAGCAGATAGGAAAATCTGTGTTAATAATCAGTATTAGGGGGCTGTGTAAAAGGAAGAAGTGCAATACCTGTGTGTTCTCATTTTCCCTAGAATAATAGATGCTAAAAGGACGTGGTGTGATAATGTCCCTTGAAGATCTTACTGGTCTTGCATTATAAATCTTTCAGAAGATTAATGATATTTAAAAAGCAAAAAACTAAATATACTGTAGTTGTATTTTTGAAAGAGTGGGTGTACTGTAAGATTAATTATAATTTGGGCAAGAAAAAACTACCATTTAGTGTTAGAAGCCATCTTCTAGATTCACTACTCCCATTCCTTCTTCTAGTAGTTGCAAGCCAAAAGAGCCTTGCAAAAATAAAAAAGGCTGTGATCTTTACTTACAGCTCCCACATACTGAAACAAATCCTCAGTGATTAATGAAGTGAAATCCTTGTTGATTAATACACTGATAAAACTAATTAAAGCTGATAATGCTGACTTCAAAGTTTTAGGTTTTATTATTTATTTCTGTGCCAAACATTATTTTATTCATTCTTCTGCAGAGCAACAATAAATTAAACCCTATAAATTCTAAATTAATTTAAGTTGGCATCTCTGAAAGTGTTTATTATAAAAACAGCTATGATGGCTTTTCCTTTTTTTCCTGTATAGATCAGTACTTTCGGGCATCATAGCCAAATATTTAAAGCGCTTTTTGGCTCTTATTCTGCTAGTATAAAAGTACATACTAAGGAGTGTTCCACTATAGAAATTAAAGTACCTCTCCTCCTCAATCAATTTTTAAACCACATAACATTTCATAAGATATTTCCTTATGAATATTTTCCCTGACAACATGCTCAAATCGACTAGGGGTGCATTTACATTGTAGGCTTATGCATGGATTCAGTCAATCTGGCTTGTTCGGTTTGGCCAGATGGCCATAACAGTAAGGGCCCAGATTTCATGTTTTTCGTCCATTACAGGACCACATGGCAGCTGATCATGGCTCGTTCTCCCCTATTTGGCATCATGCAGTGCGCAAAGAGGCTGCTACGTGCTGCTTACACAGGGTTTTCCTGTGAGCCCTGCTTGTTGGACCAAGCTGAATAGAAGAACACTGTGGCATGTCTTACATACTGTTTCCTTAACCCCGTTGCTCAAACCCAGACTTCCTTGAAAGGAAGAAAAAAAAGGGTCACAGGAAGGATGTTCCCTTAACTCTTCTTCAAACCCAGACTCCCTTGAAAGGAATACAGGAAAGAGTCCCAGGAGGGCTGCTTCCTTAACCCTGTCACTGAAACCCTAATTTCCTTGAAGACAAGGAAGGAAAGGGTCCCAGGATGGATTCTTCCTTGATCCCATTGCAGAACCCAGACTCCCTTGAAGGCAAAAAAGGAAAGAGTTCCAGGAATGGTGCTTCCTTAACGCCGTTGTTCAAATTCAGACTCCCTTGAAAGGAAAAAAGGAAAGGATCCCAGGAACAGAAAGGGTAGCCTTGTAAGTTCCCAATTGCTGCAATTGGCCAGATCTTCCCAGATCTTTCAGCTGCCTAGCCAAAAACAAATATTTCCATTAGCCAATTTTCAGGAGGTTCCCCAAAAATGGATCTGAGTGCCCAACAAAATTTGGATGCCAAAACCGGATCACCCTACAACCAAATTGCACAAGCCTACTACACTATATAATTAATGTTTGATAGCACTTTTAACTGGAATTGAATCATGGTTTGATTAATTAGAATTTGATGAAGCACCAGCACTCTTTGGCAGAGGAGGATGAAGACCCATGATTCCATAGAATTGAGCCATGGCAGTCAAAGCCATGGCAGTGAAAGCAATGTCAGACTTCATTCATTCTATAGCATAGTTGTACCTGATGCTATGGTTTTAAAACAAATTTGAGTAATACAGCCTAGGGATATAAATCTTTGTAATATTTATATTTCTTCTTCTTTTGCAAGAAAATTACCTAAACCATGCTATTTTTAGGCTATTTCCAGTTTAATTTTTTCTCTATGCAAATAAATTATGCAGTTTTGTGCCTACTATGTCCTGAAAGTAAGCTTTCTGCGCAGAAAACATTTTTGCACAAAAGTTGTTTTCTGACCACTGTTCTGAGGTTGTTAGCTCATGAAACTTGTGAATGCATTTTCAAAATACAAAATATTCTTGCTCATCAGGGTGTCCAGACAATCAAAAAATGTTCAAGTACCAGTCTTAGCGCTCCTCTTTAGGGAGGATGTAAGGGGTAAATGTTGTGTATTTATTCATGCTACTGTCACCCTTTAAAAATAACTGAATATCTACATCCATACAGTAAGCTGCTGTGTATTATTTATGTATTTAATTTACACAGTAATTTCATATAAAATCTTTTAAAGCAGGATCCAAAATTTAAGAGCAATTAAAACTTAACACTGATTTAGCACCTTTTTAATAGTGATAGTTGTTGCTGCTGTGTCACCGTAGTTGTTGCTGATCTATGGTGACCCCAAGACAAACCTATCACAGGATTTTCTTGGCAAGATTTGTTCAGGAGAAGTCTGTCATTATTTATTTATTTATTTATTTACTACATTTATATGCCACCCTTCTCACCCTGAAGGGGACTCAGAGCGGCTTACAAGTTCTAATTATTTCTTATTTGTGCACTATTTTCTTTGGACTTCAATCTGGTCTTGATCTTATACAATAAAGACACAAGGAGTCATTCATCAGGTGTTGCTATGGCCCCGCACAGGTCATTGCCTTCCTCTGAGGCTGATAGAGTGTGACTTGCCCAAGGCCATCGAATGGGTCTCATGACAGAGCAGGGATTTGATTCCTGGTCTTGAGAGTCATAGTCCAATGCTCAAAACACTACGCCATACTGTTTCCTAATAGTAATGTTACTGACATTCAAAACATTCACAGTCCAAGATTTAGCCAATTTTAAAAGAAATGCCATCAACACAAAGATTAAACATACTATTTTCCATCAAAAATGTACAAACATTAAAAACAACACAGTTTTGTAAGAGTCTCCATCCTCTAAAGCCAGGGAAAACAAAATATATCATAATAAATGAGTCATAAAATGGAGCAATCATTTGAGGAGAAAACTTTGCTACTTATCACTAATTATGTCACAGGAGAGTCCACTAATTTGAGGCACTTGTTTAACATTCCAGGCAGCAAGCACAATAGCAATAAAGGTGCCATTTTAGTAATGTAAAATACTGTGCTTTGTGTAGTCAGGAATAACCAGGTCCCTCAACAGCAAAGTGTAACCTTTGGGGAAGAGATGGGGGAATGTGTGTAGAATCAAATGACTAAGAAATACTGTGTAATTGCATACAAAGCTGGTTATATGAAACAATCTCCAGACAGTGCCCACATCTCTATGTA